GTATTGGGTACGATTAGGGATGTAGAACAAGGTCATGTAGAATAGGGCATTAATATGTGCTTATTTAGTACTAATAAATGACTAATATTCTAGTAATATGCATGCTAATAAGCAACTAGTTAAGAGACCCTAAAATAAAGTGTTACCGCTTGATTCATTAAATTTTAAACAACTCTGTTCAAAAGAGCTTCTCTGTGCTTTGTCCCTTGTTGCTTAAACGATTAACAGCATTTTGCAAAATTTGGAGATTGATGCATGAGAATTTCTGTCTTAATCATTTTCTCTCACTAATTTTACAGTTCTTTGATTGCTTCGTCTGAACAAAATGTGTTTATTTTTGTGAATTTGTGGAAGCATGAAAAAATATTACATTTATTTGCTTGTTGACATTGATTTACATGTTTTACCCGCCTCTAAGTATATTCTGTCCATCTGAATGAATGTGTTTATGTGTGTGTTACCTGTCTGTTGGCATCTAGTCCTCCAGACTGCAGTGCCCAGGCAGAGATGGTGTTGAAGGCTTTGACTACCGTCGCCCCTGGAACCAACCTGCTCAGGTATTCTGCATTGGATTCTGGGTACAGACCCCTCTTGAGATTATTGCTGACGTCTACCAGCACCTTTCCCTCAAGATCTGAAGCCAGGGAGCTCAAAAATCCATAGTGCTCCCTATGCACAGCCACGAATACCACATGTGCATCACAAGCTGCTGCTGCATGAGTCATGACCTTTGACCCCTTAGGCAGCAACAGAGAGTTTTTAGGGGCCCGGGATCCATATACAACACTGTATCCCGACTGGAGCAAACGGAGCCCCAGTGAGCGTCCAAAATCACCTGTTCCAAAGATGCACACTGTTTCCGGTTTATGCATCTTTCCACTGAGATCTGTCATTGCAACCGAGTCCGAATTCATTTCTGAAAAATAAGAGACAACACCATACACCGAAAAGGAAAATAAAGTTCAATTAAACCCACAAGTAATGACTATTACAAAGTGCACTAAAAGAACACCATTTACACTTTTAATTTCAGATTTGGTACAAGTGCTGTGGCTGTAGATGATTATATTTCTGCTTGAGTGATTTAAATGCTTGTTTTTTTTGGGCCACCACAGGCGATGATGCTGTAATCAAATTTAATTATGGTCTGCACATAGTACATTTGGGTGCACCGTTTAATTTATGGTTTATTTTGCTACTTCAAAAGTACATAGGCTGATATAATGCAAAATACACAGATCATAACCTAAAGGCAAAAAACTAAAACCTAAATAATCCCCAAAAAACTTAAAGAAAAGAATTAGCAAATTATATTCAATTATTTTAAATGAAATGAAATAAAATTTGCTCAGAAGGAATCAACAAATACTCACCAATAAAGATGCAAGAAATATATTTTCAGGAATTTGTGCACCAGTCTCTGAAAAACCGACAGACCTCTTGTAGAGTCAGATCCTGACTGTTGAAATCACTGTCTAAGAGTGTGATTTTATTGCAGAATTTCTGAATCGCCTGTGCCAATAACTATCGTCATATCCCCAAAAGCTGTTTGGCAATGTGGTGTGATCATCAAAACCAGCTTTTACTCTTCTTCTTTAGTTCTTCTACAATTTCCCTTTTATCCACTGGCGTTTCTTTGTGGGACTGAGGCTGTTTCTCTCCTGTACGGGTCTGTTTATAAGCACATGTGTGTGAGAGGCATTTTTTATGAGCCTGTGACCTGCCCACAGCTCAGTGGGGGTTTAGATTTGGGAAAAGAGAGAGAGGTTGTTTTGATAATGGATAAAGTCCAATGTGGAAATTCCAGAGCAACTGCAACTCTCTCTCTCTCTCTCTCTCTCTCTCTGTGTGTTGAAAGGCACATAATGTTTGCTTGGATTTACCTCCTGTGTGTTTTGAGGCCAAGGCCTGCCTGGAAGTAAGTTGCGCAACAGCGGAATAACTGCAACGGTCTGGCTAAGTATCTCAACGCTTCAGAAACACTTTGTTTTCCTGAATCAGCATTGTTCTGCTATAAATCAAAAAGGAAAAAATAATTTGTCTGTTGTTTGTAAATTCATCCAGAAGACTTTCCATAAACAGAGTGAGCTTTTTTCTTCATACGCTTCATAAAAAACCCCACTTGTGTGACATTTACTACTCCCAGAATCTTGAATGATACATTGAATACAGTTATCACAGCATGCATGATCTGCTGCACACCTCCACCCATCTGCGAAACCCACAGATGTGTCATCTAACAGCAATAAGCACATGGAGATTATTTATGATGACGTTAATAGATCAGCAGGCCCCTCGTATGTATCCACATTACCAGGGTTAAGACTTAAGGGGCACAGTCACAGCATGACTCCAGTCCTGCATGATCAGCAATACATCACATACTCTAGCTCCTCATTAGTCCTGTTCTGCTGGCTGAGAGCTGAGAGACTTCTTTGTCATTTATAATTATAACTGCATGTGCCTACCTGCAGTCTGGGCCACCCTCAACTTGCCTCTCCTGAATAGGAGTGTGTATTATGCTACACAAGCATGAGAAATGGAATCCAGATGATTGTTTTCTAAAGGATGTTTTGAATGAAACGTTGACCCAGATCTAAATAAGCACACATGGTACAGGTATGCGTGGGATTGATGGCTTAAAATGTCACAGATGTACAGATATTTATGTATGGATGGCACGGAACGTTTGTGGGTTTAAAGGAAAATTCCACATTCAGTACAAATTAAGTGCAATCTAAAATGGTAATGGAATAATGCTGATAACCACTATTTATTTTCTCTTTAAAAAATTAAAAAATCTTTAAAAAGGCACTTACAGTAAAAGTAAATGAGGCTAGTCTATAAAAGTTAAAATACTTACAGTTTTATAAGTATTTTATTTTCATGTGGGTAAAATAACTAATTTTCTGTATGAAGTCATATGCAATTTTACTACCTTTTAGGATCACCCAGAACCCAAAAATTATTGTAAATTTAAAAAGAATGATTTGCAACCCTTACCTTACAGGTTTTAATAGAAGAATTAAGGTGAGTGCTTTTCATTCAGGTTCACATTTCTGCTGTTAAGTCTTCCAGAAATTGGCCCCTATTTACTTCCATTGATGGCTTTTTTTAATTATGTATTTTTAAATAATTTTTTATTTTTTGTGGTAATTGACATTGTGCCTCAAATGCTTTTGACTGAACATAATTTGTACAGAATATTCTTTTAAAAGTGGACTGTTGCTCAGTGTTGACATTTTGAGTGTTGCATTACACTCTGATTAATTAGCATGTGTCAGTGTGTTTCTGTGATGCTGGACTGTGATACAATTTTTTATTTATTTATTTATTTAATTATTTTTTGTGAGCTGCATGCAGTCATGGTTGCATTCATTAGTGAGGGCATGAGTGGTGAGAATCGTTCAGAAAACCTGTCTGAAAAGAAAGCATCTGAAATTCACTGTTAGCAGTTACAAACTCTAAATTGGAACATGGTCTGTCTACAGTATTTGAACTCAAACATAATTAAATAGTGTTCGCCTCCTAGCTCTCCCAGCCATGAACAGATCTTCTCATTTGCATCTGGTATCATAAGGAAATGAGACCAGAGTAACTCACAGGAAAGAATGGGCAATTATGATATTTGGATGACGTTGGCCAAAAATGTCAGTAATTTCCGAGATGTCAACAGGAAATGCGGAGGCACAGCAATGATAGTTAACGCAGATGAAGAAAGAAATGTTTGTTATGATGCTTGGTAAACCAAGGACAGATATGGAAGGCTAATGGTTTTATGCAGAAATTACAGGGTAGATTCTCCACAGAAAAATTGCAGTAGTTTTTCAAGGAGAATTCTGCGTACATGTGAGCGCAAGGGCAAGACAATTTTCATTGCGACCAGAAGTCATTTCAGTATTTATATAAAGTATATACTGTATGTGTACTCCTAAGGTACAAATACCTGGGGTTATAATTCATGTTTTTTTTTTCTCTCTCGATCGTTTCAACTGATTCACCCTAATGGCCTCTTGCATTTTTCAAAAAATTTTTCTTTTTACAAAACCTGTTAGTTTTTTTCAAAGGCATTAAAACACATTTTGAAAGGTTTTGTTTTCCTTGAACAAAAATAGAGATGCTCTCTTTCTTTCTCTCTCTGTCAGACAAACACAGATGTATTTGGCATTCACAAGCTGGAATATTTAAGGTCATGTCCCTCTCCCCCAAACCTCTTCGGCACATCACGACCTGGAACGTTTCCCGCTCTGCCTCCTGTGTTGAAATCTGGGGTTTATTTGGTTCATTAAGTACAGAATGTGACATCATCCTAATGCATTCTTTAATTTTAGTCCAATATTGCTAAACAGTGTGTGACGGCAGTATAGCATATGAAGAGTAATCACATGGATGATATTTACTCACTGTGGGATTGACATTGACGTGATGGGACGGATTTACATAAGAAGAATGAGAAGAAACATGGTGGTGTGTTACTCTCTGACAGCTTGATGAACATGGGAGTTCATTTGCACATATTGTCATGTTTTTGAAGGAGGTATCGGGAGAATACAGCGTTTATTGTGTGAAGTGTTTACTGACTGTTATCTTCTTATTTTACTACCTTTTAGGATCACCCAGAACCCAAAAATTATTGTAAATTTAAAAAGAATGATTTGCAACCCTTACCTTACAGGTTTTAATAGAAGAATTAAGGTGAGTGCTTTTCATTCAGGTTCACATTTCTGCTGTTAAGTCTTCCAGAAATTGGCCCCTATTTACTTCCATTGATGGCTTTTTTTAATTATGTATTTTTAAATAATTTTTTATTTTTTGTGGTAATTGACATTGTGCCTCAAATGCTTTTGACTGAACATAATTTGTACAGAATATTCTTTTAAAAGTGGACTGTTGCTCAGTGTTGACATTTTGAGTGTTGCATTACACTCTGATTAATTAGCATGTGTCAGTGTGTTTCTGTGATGCTGGACTGTGATACAATTTTTTATTTATTTATTTATTTAATTATTTTTTGTGAGCTGCATGCAGTCATGGTTGCATTCATTAGTGAGGGCATGAGTGGTGAGAATCGTTCAGAAAACCTGTCTGAAAAGAAAGCATCTGAAATTCACTGTTAGCAGTTACAAACTCTAAATTGGAACATGGTCTGTCTACAGTATTTGAACTCAAACATAATTAAATAGTGTTCGCCTCCTAGCTCTCCCAGCCATGAACAGATCTTCTCATTTGCATCTGGTATCATAAGGAAATGAGACCAGAGTAACTCACAGGAAAGAATGGGCAATTATGATATTTGGATGACGTTGGCCAAAAATGTCAGTAATTTCCGAGATGTCAACAGGAAATGCGGAGGCACAGCAATGATAGTTAACGCAGATGAAGAAAGAAATGTTTGTTATGATGCTTGGTAAACCAAGGACAGATATGGAAGGCTAATGGTTTTATGCAGAAATTACAGGGTAGATTCTCCACAGAAAAATTGCAGTAGTTTTTCAAGGAGAATTCTGCGTACATGTGAGCGCAAGGGCAAGACAATTTTCATTGCGACCAGAAGTCATTTCAGTATTTATATAAAGTATATACTGTATGTGTACTCCTAAGGTACAAATACCTGGGGTTATAATTCATGTTTTTTTTTTCTCTCTCGATCGTTTCAACTGATTCACCCTAATGGCCTCTTGCATTTTTCAAAAAATTTTTCTTTTTACAAAACCTGTTAGTTTTTTTCAAAGGCATTAAAACACATTTTGAAAGGTTTTGTTTTCCTTGAACAAAAATAGAGATGCTCTCTTTCTTTCTCTCTCTGTCAGACAAACACAGATGTATTTGGCATTCACAAGCTGGAATATTTAAGGTCATGTCCCTCTCCCCCAAACCTCTTCGGCACATCACGACCTGGAACGTTTCCCGCTCTGCCTCCTGTGTTGAAATCTGGGGTTTATTTGGTTCATTAAGTACAGAATGTGACATCATCCTAATGCATTCTTTAATTTTAGTCCAATATTGCTAAACAGTGTGTGACGGCAGTATAGCATATGAAGAGTAATCACATGGATGATATTTACTCACTGTGGGATTGACATTGACGTGATGGGACGGATTTACATAAGAAGAATGAGAAGAAACATGGTGGTGTGTTACTCTCTGACAGCTTGATGAACATGGGAGTTCATTTGCACATATTGTCATGTTTTTGAAGGAGGTATCGGGAGAATACAGCGTTTATTGTGTGAAGTGTTTACTGACTGTTATCTTCTTACATAATTGATGTGAAGAGCTGGAATTGCTTCCTCTGTTCTGATACAGTTTTTGACTCACAGATACAGACATCTGAACACAACAGATTTTGGTCAGAATATGTTCTTCCTGGCTTCTGTCGCTGAGCAATTCCACCTCATAAATCCCCCCATTTGTTTTGTATGAGCAGAGAATGTTTGTGAGAACACAGATGACATCTGCCTAGTAAAATCTGAAGCACACCAATTTTGGCTTTATCAGGGAGGATTTTGAACTGTGTACTACGAATTCCAAGAACTCCTACATTTTTTCTGTGTTTCTTTTCCTACTGCAGTGAGAGGTGGGGTGTGGGGAATTCTGTTTTTTTTTTTTTTTCATTCTTTTTAGGAAATGTGTTTTTGGAGCTGTGTAAAAGGTCAGCTTAGGTTCGGAATTTATTGTCTTAATTTCTGCCTTTAAGTAATCAGACACTCACAAATTGTGCTCATGTATGTATTCTCTGGTGGAAGAAAGAGATAAAACCACAAGGAAGGAAGAGAGCATGGAAAGAAAAAAATATTGAAAAAAATCTCACTTGCATCTCCTAGACAACAACGGAAGAGCAAATGGAGACTTTGCCTTGTGAAGAGATCTCAACAATGACACAAACTATTATTAAATGTGTGTGTCTGTGTGTTGTGAATGTATTTGTCTGCATATGTGCTTTACATTTTTTCCCCCCTCAAATACATACTCTGCTTATTAGGTCTATTTTTTATCCTGCCCAGTAATGGTAATTGCAGTTGGAAATGAACAGGTTTTATATTTTAAACATAATAAGAAATACAAGTACCGGTATTGAAGTAAGAAGTACGATCTTATGCTTTGGAATGTAGTGAAGTAAAAGTAAAAGTTACTCAAACTAAAACTACTCCAGTAAAGTACAGATACTTGAAAAATTTACTTAAGTACAGTAACGAATTAAAACTACTCCGTTACTGTCCACCACTGCCGGTATGTGAAATATGAATGTTAAAGAAACTATCAGTCATCAGTGGTTCTCAAAGTTGTGTGGCGCGACCCCTAGAGATCTGTAGAGGTATTGCAAGTGGAGCGCGGGAGAATTCCCTATACAGTGGTTCTCACATCTTGTGCACTACTTCACTACTTCACATTTCAATTTGCAGCATTTAAACAAAAGAGAAGCAATGACGTTTGTGAGCAGTTTCCTCCCTCTTCTCCTTATATGGTAAAGTTCACTGCACTGCACTTGAGTAAACAATAACATTCTCGTGTGTGCAATTAATATGGCAGGTTTTAATGGCGGAAGGGGAGATTTTCAGGGAATAACAACTTCAATTCCGTTCTTTTGCTCACACAGAACTGTTGTATGACTTTAGAAGACTTGGAATATAGTGTCGTACAATTATTTCTGTGATCCTTGTTTGTAGTTTTGGAGCTCGGAAGTTCAGAAATCCCCATATCATTAGGTGCTCCACAACTAAACCTTTAAATTTTCCAGTAAACTAACCCTTTTTAATCACTTTTTATTTATGCATTTATTAATTTTTGATATTTTAATAGCCATTGTCTTTAACTGAAATGTTTTATTAAATGTATATTAAAAATGACAGAAAATAACAACAATGTAGACATACTGGCAGTAAGTTAATTCGCTTCTGATAGGCCTATTCTTTTTGAAAAAAGTGTGTTCATAACCAGTGCTTTTCCAATACTATTCTCCAATTATCATGCACACCAGTAAACCTTGAGTCGAACTGGATTGAATGAAAGGGAAGCGAAGGCATGTCAGGTGTACAAAGAATATTCATGTTTACAAGATCTCACAGATGTGGGCAAGAGAAACATCTGACTGTTCCTGCTGGGACTAAATGTGTAGTGTGTGTGTTGTTTATGCATATGTGTGTGGCTGAGGAAAGAAACAATAGAACAATGTATGAGACAGACAATAGCAGACAAGAATGAAGGTGGTGGAATCCAGCCAATATGGAGCAATGCCATTATTAAATACAGCAGCCTACACTCATAGACACCTAAAATACGTTCCCAGCTCACACTATTAAATAAACACTAAAGTACAAACTTATTCTAAATTTACTCCGGCAATAAAAATGTTTCATAGGGTTGTGGGTGGAATTTGGCAACAAGCAATATGACAAAACCCAACGGAAGGCAAGAGAGAGAAAAAGAATGGAGGAAAGGAAGAGAGTATAATTATCACATCATTGGCTGTATTTTATTGTTTTCTTTTATTGTGTAATTGATGAAATGGGACAGAGATTTCAGATTTTTGTCTCGGATAAGGGATGCACTACAACAACGGAAGTGAAGTTTCAACCACATTGATTAATTTGGATGAAGCAGGTTAAATTATCCATGGCAAATCCATTTAATGAGCAAATAGGTAGAATGAAAGAGGAATTATTCAAAACCCGGTTAATTCAATTACTCAGCTTTCTCCACTAAATGCTACTGATCTAATTCCTCTCCATTAGTGTAATTATTTGCCTCTTTTTACATCCCCCTCTCTCTCTCTCTCACTCACTCACTCACTCACTCACTGTCTCTATGTGTATCACTATTTCTTTCTCTCAACACAAGGTTAATTGCACACTTCAAGTGTTTTAACCCTGTGACCCCTCCCTGTGACCTTGTTGGGATTGACCTTTGCAGAAATCTGGCAGCTTAATTGTTCATGCAAATATTGTTGCATGCTTTAGATTCTGTAGAACTGTCAACTGATTGTACATTTACTTTTTTTTAAATCGCACATTATAGGAATGTGAACTTTGGAACAGGTTTATTTTAGCATGGCTGTTAGCAATTAATAAGAAGCAGGAATAAATATGGCTTCCTTCAAGGACAAGACCTGAGTGCATGTCAAAATTTTACATTTTCCTATCAAAATGGTTGCATAGAAACAATGTTTTGCAGACACTTCTGTATTATTTATTCCATATGCTGCTGAGGTATGTGTTCTTGCATTATGGACATTCAGAAGAGAGCTATGGCTTTACTGGTCATTATATATTAATGTCTGTCCCTTTTTTGTACCTATTTTGATTTACAATATGGATTTAGCTTGCTTTGTGATCACACACGTACAGTACACACATTTACTTGGCCTAAAGTTTTGCTCCTTTTTTTTTTATATAAACCTTATTATATTTCAACATACATTCATGCCAATTCATAAAATTTTTACATTTTGGTGAATTGGTGGTGAATTCATTTGAATTTTTACAATCTCATTCTTATGTTTTGTATGATCTGCTTACACATCACTGAGTTTGGGGTGATCCTTATTACTTACATTTATGTTTGTTTTTGTACAAACTAAATCACAGGATTTCATACAAAATTACCACATTGTAAAATAGTTACTTTTTCGAATGAGATCCGATAGTTATAATTACTACAGACTAGCCCTAAGAAAGGCATTTTTAGAAAAGATGTATTTCTGTATACAATTATTAAAAATATTTTTTCTTTCTTTCTTTCTTGTTTTCTTTCTTTCTTTCTTTCTTTCTTGCTTTCTTTCCAACTAAAATGTCATCTCCATATGTCCAAACTGGGAGATTTTGGCAGATTTAGCTAATTTCTAGAGACTCTTTTGTCCCCAAAGTACAGGTGCATTTTGAATTACTGAAATAAACGAACTTTTCCACGACATTCTAATTTATTGAGATGCACCTGTATATACTGCCAAGTAAACCCACACACTTTCATTTTCTAACCATCCCAGAAACCTTTTTGCACTTCTGTTTATATTATTTAGTCTGTTAATTGAGCTGTTTTTCCTAAACTGGGATCATAAAATGGTCCCCATGTCTGTGGTTTCAGGTTTTACTTTTGAACAGCAGTTCAGTGTTTTTAGGTGAGCTCCCTTT